GTGTGGGGACGCATGCGGCCGCGGGCACTGGGGCCTTCGGTGGAGCTCCCTATGGAGCCACGAAACGTGTGAGGGGTGTGCCGAAATGGGTGTGGGGGACGCATGCGGCCGCGGGCACTGGGGCCTTCGGTGGAGCTCCCGATGGAGCCACGAAACGGGTGAGGGGTGTGCCGAAATGGGTGTGGGGGACGCATGCGGCCGCGGGCACTGGGGCCTTCGGTGGAGCTCCCTATGGAGCCACGAAACGTGTGAGGGGTGTGCCGACATGGGTGTGGGGGACGCATGCGGCCGCGGGCACTGGGGCCTTCGGTGGAGCTCCCTATGGAGCCACGAAGCGTGTGAGGGGTGTGCCGAAATGGGTGTTGATGGTGATGATGATGGGAGGGGGGAGGAGGCAGCGGGAGGAAGGAAGGAAGGAAGGAAGGAAGGAAGGAAGGAGAACGCGGGGCACCGTCTCTTCAAAACGAGGACCCAACACCACAGGATGGTTGGGAAAAAAATAGTCCCCGGACTATTTTTGGATTTTGTTTTTTGCTATTTTGGGGGTCTGTCTTATTTTTCGTCGAAAATCCCCGTGTAGGGGGACAGGCCAGACCTAATGCTGTGCCATCCCCCTCCCTCTTGCCCCCCCCCATCCCTGGGCGAGGACCGTCAATGGGCTTCACCCGTGGGGACCGTCAGTAGGCCTCACAGCCTGCGCAGCTTCCATCACGAGGGCTGCGTGGGCAGCCGCCCCCCCCCACGATCACACCTACCGTGAGGCCGTCCAAAGGCACCAGAGGGGGCCGGCGCCCTCCCCACGGTCCCTCGGCCAACGAAGACGGCCGTAGGGATGGGTGCCAACGCACCGCCACAGCTCAGACCGTCTTGGCCTGAAGGCGCCCATCGCCACCATCCACTGTCTTCCTCCTCTTTCCTCCTCCCCCCTCCTTCGAAGCAAGTCATACGGTCGTTGTCCTTGCCCAGGTTCGAAGCGAAAGCGTCATCAACGTAAGATTTCGGAGATCCGCGCGGATTTCTTGAGTATGCGCCTGGCACCCCTGGCGGCGCCTCCGGCGCCGCTCCTGGCGCCCTCCGCGCGCATTTCTTGAGTATGCGCCTGGCACCCCTGGCGGCGCCTCCGGCGCCGCTCCTGGCGCCCTCCGCGCGCAATGGAGCGGATGAAGCGCCGATCCAAGGAATCCGCGCGGACGTCCGAAAGTGCATATTTGTGCAGATGCCGCTTCTTCGTCCATTTCCAGCTGCCGTCTCCCAGATATGCAGGGGGTGTAGCAGCGTTCTCGTTCGAGCTCTACCTCCGGGGGGTCAGATGCCTCCCGCTACATCGGGAATGTGCAACTCCTGTTGCGGGCCTTTCGTCGGGGGTCGTAGGCGGGGGGCACCCCAAGGTGGAGTTAGGGGGCGAGTCCAGCCGGATGTTCACATTTGTTTCCTCCAGGGACTGTTTCAGCCAGACTTCATCGAACACCACCTCCCGTTTGAGACATCCCAGGATCTCACGACGAGGGCCCGACATTGCGCAACGCTTACACGGACGTTGGGCAGACCCTTTTCAGACCCGAGCTACCGTTGGGCACTTTCTTGGACTGTGTACCCCCCCCCGCCTCTTTTCAAGCAGCGGCGAAGCGTCCTGGCTCGTCTATAGCCCCACCAAACAATGTTCTAAGAACCTTTTGTGGTTTCCACGAAATGTTCTTAGAACATTTCTGGCGGAATATGTCTTGTTTGAACACATTGGGTTCATGTTCTAAGAACCTTGTTTGTGTTCCTAGCACATTTGTGGGTTCTAAGAACGCTTCGTGGTAGGACTATAGGAATGCCGGGACGGCCGGTCCCTGCTCAGTCTTTGCACTCTTCCTGGCCGGAAGGATGGAGGGGGTGGGTCCTTCGCAACATGGGGTCTCGCCAGAGCGGCAGGCGTCCTGCGCGCGGGGCGCGCATCTGTCAAGGGGGGCGCTTTTCCCGCAGTGGTGGAGCTGTTGCTCTGCACCTCCTCCTGCTCCTCCTCCTCATCCTCCTCCTGCTCGTCGTCCTCCTCATCCTCCTCCTCCTCCTGCTCCTGCTCCTCCTCCTCCCCCTCCTCCTCCTCCTCCTCCTCGTCCTCCTCCTGCTCCTCCTCCTCCTCCTCCTCCTCCTCCTCCTCCTCCTCCTCCTCCTCCTCCCACGCGCGCTCCAGAGGAGGGAGGATGAGGATGAACAGCAACGCGAGGAGCAGGAGGAGCAGGAGGGAGAGGAGGAAGACGAGGGGAGTGAAGAGGAGGAATGCGAGGAGGGTGGAGAGTGGAGAAGGAAAGAGTAAGAGGAGGAGGAGGAGAAGGAGGACGAGGAGGAATGGGAGGAGGAGGAGGAGGAGGAGGAGGAGGAGGAGGAGGAATGGGGTGGATGTTGCCATGGGCGTCTACCCGCTTACCGATAGTTCGTTGCAGCCTTGCTTTACACGGTCGACGCGAGTCTGGCTAATATCACCTTTGGGGGACTGTTATGTAACTATGCAGTCGCATGTGGACCCGATCTTATGGCGCAGCCGCGACTCCAACAAGATCGCCGACCACGTCGTGAACGTGACCATGGATACAAAACAATCCTGGGAGGAATGTACTCCTCCAGGCCATCCACACCGACCTAACAGAGGCAAAGTTCGTCATGCATTGCGATGGGGGAATTCGTGTTGGAACATGTTATGATGCAGCGTGGGTGTTGGAAGCGCACATACAGACACATCGTGGACCAGAGATCTCACTCTTGGCGGGAAAGGGCATCTTCATGACAGAGCCGATATCTTCATTCACCGCGGAACTGATTACGTTAGAGGACTGCGCTGTCTCATTCGAGCGATTCTGGGCTACACTTTGCACTTCAATTCGGCTGTCCTGGGTAGGATTTGAGCCAGGACGAAAGAAAGAAAGGTGGGGGGGGAGGACATAGGAGGTGGAGGAGGATGTGGAACGGAGGGGAGGAGGCTGTGGAGGCGGAGGGTGAGGAGGAGGAGGAGGAGGAGGAGGAGGAGGAGGAGGACCAGGAGGAGGCGGAGGAGGAGGAGGAGGCGGAGGAGGAGGAGGAGGAGGAGGAGGAGGAGCAGATTCAAACTCAGGACCCGGCAACGATGCTGCAACACGCCCTCCAGTCCCGAGTGCCCTCCTCACTCAGGAGGGAAAAAATACACAGACACAATTCATCGTCGATCCCCCAGAAAATATGGGAAAATATGGGAAGTGGGGGGGAGGACAGAAACCTAGAAAATATGGGAAAATATGGGGAATCCTGTTATTTGTATGTATTTATTTGCGTGTCCCAGGGCCCCTTCACTCACAAGTCCCCACATCGATTCCTCGCCCCCGCGGGACGCGGCCCCCTACGAGGGACGAGCGTGCGACGGGCCCGCCATGCGGGCGAGAGCACCGCGGGGGAGCCGCGCGGGGCTCGCTTTTCTGCCAGCGGGCCTCGGGCGGCGGCGCCGCCCTCCATGCGGGAAGCCCAGGCGCCTGCCCGCAGCGCGAGCACAGCACTCAGGAGGGAAAAAAGCACACAGACACAATTCATCGTCGACTCCCAGAAAAGATGGGAAGATATGGGAAGCGGGGGGGGGAAGACAGAAACCCAGAACATACGGGAAAATGTAGGCAATCCTTTTCTTTGTGTGTATTTAATTTGTGTGTCCCAGGGCCCCTTCAAGTGCCCCGGTCACTCCATGCATCACCCCGCGGTCGAAGAAGGGAAGGATCGCGTAGACTCGAGCCTTCGGAGCTTCGCGCGGAGATTCCTGGGACCTGCGCCGAACGTCCCGGGGGCGGCGCCTCGCGGCGCCGCCAGGGGGGGGCCCAGCGCGGCTCCGAGGAGTCTGCGCGGACCGCCGACGGCTGCTTCTTCCTCTCTACAGTCGGGGCCCTGAAGAGGGAACCCTTTTCGTTGGGGAGGGGCTCGGTGTTCCTTGTCTGTTCTGCAGTTTGCCCTCGGCTTTCCGGAGGTTTCCCGTGGAAAGGAAAGTTCAGCCTATGGGAGGAAGGGGCCTCGTTCCTTATTTGGGGTTCCCTAGGTCAACGCCCCGACTGTATCTGGAGGGTGAGCATGGCCTGTCCACCCTTCCGGGTTCAGCCTGCACGCTTGCCCTGGCGTCTCGCCGCGTCGGTCGGCGCTCGGGGTCGGGGGCGCCGCCCGCAGAGCGCGCGCCGCCTGCGTTGCCGGCCGCAGCGTTGCAGCCAAGACGCTGAAGTAAGGACCACGTTGGGCTCGGGGGGGCCTGGTTTTCGGGCCGTTTCTGTAGGAAAAAACACAGTTTGTGGGACAAACACACACACACTGTAGGGGAAACACACAC